AGAAGCAGCCCTCGCGTTCAGCGGCGAGAGTAAACGCAGCCTTCGCCTGGCTCTTCGGCCCCTGATGAAAAGGCTGCTGCTGAGGTTAGGAAGGGCAAGTAAGTGGTCCTCTCGGACGTGCGACTTCATTACAAGCTGCTGCTGCTCAGCCAGAGGAGCAGGAAAGCGTCACCCAAGTAGCAAGCATTGCATTAGTCACTAGGAGTTAAAGTGGTAAATAAATAGAAGACGAAGCTCCGAAAGGACCAGGTAAAAACCCACAAAGCAACTGTTTATTTATAAACTACTTCTTGTTTGCTATGAGAGTAGGACAACCACTGTACAATATAATAAAGCTTAAAAGCACGTGGAAAAACAAGGGCTTCATGTTGGTTTTAGATACATTCAGGCATTGCTGAACATGACCTCTCCAAAGCCAACCTTAGGAATTTTACTTTTAGGCTGTGCCTTAGCTCCCTCTCTACAGCTCCCTTTGCCCCAGGTGTTGCAGCTCCAGGAGTCTTCTTGCAAGAAAGTATGTTACCTGTTCAAACAAGTGCAGACAGAGCTTTTATCTCACCTGCACCTCTCTGCACATCTGCCCTACGGCTTTAGGAAAGGAGTGCCTACTTTGAAATTCAGGCTATAAAAGTAGCTAAGCCTCTTTGTCACTACAGATTTCAGAGAGAAATGCTAAAGTCAGTGGAATAAGAAGCGTTGCTGTCTACACTGCCATTGCAGCCATGCGGAGTTTTGGACTTTTTTCTGTTCATTGACACATTTTTTGCTGCTTATAGGACTAGCCAAGACGACAGCTGAAATGCGCCACCTACTGGACACCAATGCTGAGAGTGGAGTGATGTGATCTGATTGGGCAAATTCAGGTCCAGGGAGTATCAGCACAGGTCAGTATCAGATCGTAGAGGACCCACACAAAGCTCAAGAAAGCAATCCCTCAAGCACGCAGACAGACGTGCAGATGCTACTTGTCAGTGATTTGTCTCCATAAGGTAGGAAGGAACATGAGCTTGAAATCCATTTAATGTTGAAAGGAGGGTATTGTCAAAGACTGGAGGGCACATAGGTCCCTCAAACCATCCATGCACTTGTTTTTTGAAGTTTCTCTCAAGGTGTTAGTGCATAAAGGACATACAGAGCAGGAAATACAGAAATACTTCAGTTTTAAGAGTGAAAAAACCATTTTTCTCTTTAGAATTACTTATATGGAAATATTATCAAATAGATAACCCATAGCATTTTAGTGGTGCATTTGTCAGTTTGCTCTTTAGCAGTAGCTGTCATCTGTCCTTAGTGATTGTCTTGCTCCCAAGTTCACTCCAAAGGAGGAAGACTTTACAGGTCTCTCACTGGAAGAAAAATAATTTAGACACTCCCAGACTTTGCCAGCATTGGAAGCCAATTTAAGGAGCTGAGACTGAAAGTTTTACTACTGTGTAATAAGATGCACAAAATCAACTTCTCTGAAGTAATCTCAAAAGTACAAAGGATATGCTGCAGCAAGACACGCCACCCTTCAAACACTGAACTTCAAGTATCACCCCCTCCTCTCCCACTCACAAGAAAAAAAAAAAACACATTGCAGCAATATCTTCTCCATTAACATTCTTACAGATACAGTGCATACAGCTTTTTGGCCTGAACCCTAGAAACATATCAAATCATGACTGTTTTCCCAAAATAGGTACGGCTGTCTTGGAGTGCTAAGGTGCTATGTCTTGGTATTTGTTTCCAAAGCTGCTCCTCTGTGTGTGTGTATTCACACAGTTGCACGCACACACACACGTATACATGCACAAAAGCATAGGAGGATGGTTACACTGAAGAGTGGGTTAGCTCAATACTATTCAGTCCATTTCAGAATGCTTAAATGATGGAAAAAGGATATAGCTGGGCATAAGAGCCTTCGATTGTTCCAACAGAGCCTTCACTTTAATGGAAGAGTAACATAATTTCTCTCTGAAATCAGATTTAGAACAAAATTGGCTTGGCGAATTTTTAGTAAGGTTATTTCCCCTCATGCTGAAGATAAAGTAGAAATAAAACCCAGTAATAAAAAGAAAAAAATGAGTATGCATTGATATAAAGTAAGTCTCCAAAGCCACTCTGAGCAAGATCAAGCTGACTCAGATTTTTCCAGGTTTAGATAACTTAATGCTTTGTAGGATTGCTAATGCTCTGGCTTTAATAAGTTTACTTTTCAGGTTAAACATCCAGAATTAAAATTAATGTCTACCACTAACGCATACAAGAGGAACATGTAAGCACAAGTACAGATAACAGGTTTTTTAGTGCTCAAATTGCATAGTATAAAACAAAAGTGCTGGAAAGTGATACTCTTGCACGTGTATTAACAACAGTAAGAAGTACTGGAAGAATTAAGCAGCAGCAGATATAAAGTGACCGCACTAAGGAGAGCAGAGTTTTTGTGCTCCACATACAGCTGAGCAATTGTCATTTATTCAGAGAGAAGAGTGAAACATCTCGGAGGCTACGCAGGCTGGCACTGATGTCACGCCTCTGTTTGAGGGTGCATCTTTCACTGTATTGGCTCATGTAGTTTTCAGGCACACGTCCCCTCCGGGATAGGATATTCACCATGTGGCTAAGCTTTGATCTGATAGTAGAGTAGTGAAATTGCCTCTCTTTATGCAGTTTTTGGAAATACTCTGCCCTGTGACTGGTTGAATACTCAATGGACCGAAGAGAAGACAGTGAGCTGGTAGAGCTTGCTAGAGAGCACTGGGATGATGATGAAGACAGTGATCGCAGACTGGAATTTGATATGGATTCTCCAGATGCAGAAGATCCTTCTTTTGATTGCTGTCTTTGAATCGGGGGCGTTTCTGCACACTCACCTTCCTTTGTCTGCGTTACTGCAGTCTTCAGCAGAACTGAGGTTTGCGTGCCCGTTATTCTAGCAGCAACAGAAGTTTGAATGCCGGTTTCCACTGTTGCAACATTGGTCTGTGTGACAGCATCACACACAGTCACAGGCTTTTCTTCCCAGGGACCAGTTTGAGTTGATGCACTCTTCCTTTCCACGGTGGCCTCTCGATCGCTGAACCACTCCTCCTCAGCAATGCAAGAAGAGCCCAGGTTACAAGCTTTGCCTCCAGGAGTACCTTCATCCAGATCTATTTCTTTCAACAGTTTCTTCGGAGTACTAGACAATCTGGCAAATTCTGCTCTCAGATTGCTTTCCATAGTGTACTCTTTAGTCAGCTCTGTTTTGTTCACCAGGTGATCAAATATTCCACTGCTCCTGCAGCTCGATGGCCATTTAGGGCTGATCGGCTTTGACTGGGCATAAAGAATCCTGAACTGAAGATCAAAATGTTCAACCACTTGACCTGACAGTAGCAACAAGTTACTGCTGTTCAGTTTCCCATCAGTCCATGTGAAACTATTGAAAACAAGCCAGGATTCACAGTTAATCTCTAATGCATTTCAACACATATGATTACAAATGAAATAGCAAGATTCAGCTTAGAAGTGTTTTGCATACTCCCTAGAATATTCTCCCTTTTTCAGGGAAATGCCTCTTTAGTCACTGTCAAATTCTTTGCTAGTAACACAGTAGCATGTCTGTAGCAAAGATATAACTAACTTCTGATACACCGCTCACAGCTGAGCTGGAAGCTTTGTGCAAAGCAAGTTTACAGAGTTCCAAGAGAAGCAAAAAGGTCATCCTCCAGCCCATAAGCTCTCCTGTTACCCAGTCCAATCTCACAACCAAAAAAATGCAGGAATCTACTGAGTTTCTCTCCTTCCCGGTATTTCTGTGCAGATATTTGCCTGAAGATATGCAAGCTTGTCCCTGCTAGACTAGGTCATAAGGGTTTAAGTATAATAGCAGTCACAGAAAATTCTCAGTCAGATCAGAAGCAAATGAAACATAAGGGTTCACTATCTACCTCAAGCAAGAATAGGAGCAGACTGTTTTTCATTGCTTGATTTAGTTTTCAACTGAAATTTAACCAACCCCTTTTGCTATCCCAAGTCCAGGTAACTAAACCATTAGGAGATGGAAGGGGCACAGATACAGGGCAGCTTATGCAAGATACCTGGCTATGCTGTTAGCTGAAGCTTTTTGGTTGATTAATTTGAATGTCAGATACTCTCATACTGCTCATATGCAAACACATGAGTTGTGTAGAGATTTCCAAAGTTATTCCCACCTTTGTGTCAGTCCCACTTAGGCTCAGCTAGTCCACTTGACATTGGTATTTATTAATACCAGGAAGGCAGCAAAGAATCTACCCTTCTTGCAGAAATTCCTCCTTTCCAAAGCTGCATCAGACACTAATGGACACCAATACTTGCCTGTAGGAGCCTGTTGTCACTCTGATGCCATCAATTAACATGAACTTCTCATGGACTTTCCCAATAATTTTGACACCTGACCTCATGTAGTATGTGTTCCCAGTGAGTGTTCGAACTCTCAGCAGCTGTTCCAGAAAAGAGGAGAAAATAAACATTGCATTTAAGCTGACTTCCAAAAGTTTTGATTAGTAATTCCACACAAAGACAACTAGGCACACCATGGAAGAGAGGAATGACAGCAGCTTCCTTATGCTGGTCTGCAAGTGAGTGTTATTAGTTACACAGTTGCTATATTTCTGTTAGATTAGGAGTCTGTGGAGAATCAGCCTGGAGAGAACAGCCAACTCCAATCAACTGCTACCTGTGAGTTTGGGCATGAAGCTCAGAGTGCTTCCCAGTCACAAGAAACTCTCACTGAGGCAAACACAAGTTTGCCCAAGCCAAGACAGTACAGTCATGTCAGTTTATAATCAGAGAAACTAAGTGTGCCACATCATTCACACCTGATAGCTGTTTATTTTAAATGGGATGGCAACTATGTACTATGGAAGAAAAGAGATGTTGCCAAAGCCAAGCCACCCTTGAGCTTAACATTAATTTGTTTTCCTTTTATAAGCTGTGTCTTGAGTCAAAGAAATAATGCTACTTAGGTCTTGCAAAATTAAGTGTTTGAAAAAATGCCACTCCTTCAGGACAGGAGTGCACTGATCACAGGTCCACACTCCATCCAGCACACTGGAGAGCTACACAGCAGGGCTGTAGATCCTACATGCAGGTAGCATCAGATAAGGGCAGATGTGCCTTTTCTGCATGGCTTTTGCTGAGTTTCTGAACAGTTTCATGTGTTGGCTTAGAGACGATACAGAAGCCATGTAATATTTGGCCTTGATCTTCAGAAGCACAGAGAAACCTTTCAAACAACTTTTATTTCAGTTCTTATCAGCAAACAGGATGCTTCAGTCTTTCAAAGAAGTCTCTTATTTATAGACAAGTACCTACCTTTGATGTCCATAAGTGTAACCGGTACAAAAAAAACAAAACCAGAATGCCTCATACACACAACACACAGTATTTAACACTTACACTTTCCTGCTCAGGACATACTCCTAAATTCTTGCACATTTCCAAGAAATGGGGCAGGAAGTCCTGGTCAAGAAGGATATAGACTGGGACTTTACGATTGTTATAGGCATCCTGGAGCTCACCAAAGATATCGATATCTGTGAAGGAATCCATCACGAGGGCAATTACCTGCAAAAAAAGACAATACTTGTTCAAGCGCTTTATATCGCACTACACAAATCTAGACCACTGCCTCCTCCCAGCAATTTTCTTCTGTTGCTGAAGAGCTTTCTCACACCTGCTATTGCTTTTGTGCACTTTCACAGCCTGCTTTCCTACGTGATCTCTCATGACCAGGCCTTTTTGTAGCATCTGGGGAGCTGGCCTAGCAGAATCACAATCCAGACAAGATATCTCCACTCCTCCCACATGTGTTGGGTAGTGCCTTATGCTCCAAGGATTATGCTGTATGCAAAACTGCTGCACCTACAGATCAGCTCACAGCAGTTTTTTACAGGAGAGCAAAGAGGGAGTTTCTAATCTAAAACTTACTGAATATAGAAGGCCAGAGACCAGGAATCTTTCAGGTGCAGGGTAGCAGATGTATTTTGTCATTCCCCAATTAAGCACACTCACAAGGTCTTAGCAGAGGCCACAGCTTCCTGAAGGGGGGAGCTGCTGTCATTGGGCTGTTCTGTCTGGAGCACTGGCCTTCAGCTCCCACCACATCAGGATACAAGAGACCCTGTCTCTCACCAAGGCCTGCATTATTGTGGTCAAGTACTCTGGTACTTATACGGCTAATGAAAAATTGTCTCAGCCAACCATCTACAAGTTGTTCTCCTCTCAAGACATTCTTCTGTGGTATGTGTGCTATAGCTAGCCTCCCTCTCTGTCTCAAACATTGACTGTTATCTCTTCAAACCCTGTGATAGCAATACACCACTCTCCCTCTATAAATTATCAAGAGGGAAAGTGTCTGTGACAACGTATAAACTGAACAGGTCTAGCAAGAGTCTGGAAAAAGCATCTTCTGAGCTTCCATCCAATACCTTCACTAGAAAACCATCCATTCACTCACCAGCATATATACCACTGGAAGGTTGTAGTAAGGAGTCCTCTACACTAGGCAGGTCCTAAGATGGGACAATTGCTTTTCAATGGGCCAAAGACAGAACAGCAATCATACATTTATCAACCACCTCTCCAGCTAGCTCAGAACAACATTGCGCCCCACCTCTGGGCTAGAATTCCAGCCCATCAAAATGAGGAAGCCACAGCTGTGCAGAGACACAGATGTACATAGGGCTTGGTTTCATGGCTTATTTTACCATTATCCCATTAGAACAGCTTCAAGGAGAGCTATTATACAGCTGCTGCAGGTACCTGGGATCTGCTCTTATCAGGTAGTAAGGCATACACGCTCTGCCACAACACACCCCAGGGTATATATGTATTGCAACACAGCAATGTGTGCGGTATTGCCTTTACTCAGAGGAAACATCTCCCACAAGACAGGGCTAAGCACTGCACTCACACCTGTGCCCTGCTCCTTAGGGAAGTGGCTCTAGAGTGGATAATTTCTTAGTTATAAAACAGAGATGCACTGGTATTTCTAGATAAAGTTAGTTCATGCTTTTGTTTCTCCACCCTATCATTTGGGAGAGTGACAAAGCAAGGTAAAAGTAAGGTGCACTTGACAAGACCAACCACTGAAAACAGCATAATAGATGCACGATGCACATTAAAACCCCTTGGAAATACTGTTGCCTTCAAATGACTATTCAATTAGCAGGGCATTTGAGATCCCAGAGTTGGCAGCTGAAAAGGAAATAAAGCTTTATTCACAATGAAAAAACCACACAGTTCCACTCAGAGGAGGTAGAAAAAACCCTTCTTTACAGGCTTGGCCATTCAGGATAGCGGAGGCAAGAGATGGATATGGTTCACTCCAGTCACTCAGGCTGAACACATTTTATTAAGCTGTGGAGAAATCAAACAGCATCTAGAGGTTTAGTTTTCCCTCACATTAACTTTCAGAACGGATTGAATGTAAGATATCCTGCAGTGTTGCTCAATAACAGGCATAGGGGTCAAATTTTCTCTCTACTTTGTGTCCACAAAAAAGCTGCCTCGATCAGGGATGTATACCGCAGTGACAAGAGTGGTTTGTCTGGTTGTTGGCTTGGTGCAAGAGAAGGAGTTTTGGCTGGACGCTACAAGCAAGAACAGCTTTTTGGAGAAACAGATGTTTTGCTTGAATCACCAGACTGATCTCATCTACCTAATAATCAGCCTGTGAGAAGAGACTTTCATCCATGACGGTTTCTGGCAAGAAGCCCATCCATCGCTCAACCAGGCTGAAGCACAAAGTCGAGGCATGCCCTGCGCAAGCGCACGCTACGCATTGAGGTGCGGTAGCCCCCAGCTCAAGAGGGAGCTGCATTTGAAAGTTTAAGCTAAGCCAGTCTAACAGCTGCTGCTGAAAAGGGTGGTTCCCTCCCAGGGATTCCAGCTAGAGGCTGCAAACTCAGGTAACACAACAGGTTACAGGGAACAGTTAGAAGCTACTGCTCCGCCTCATTTTTAGGCCAGTTGCTGCAACAAATTAGAACGATCTCATAGAAGGGAAGCCCTACTAAAAGGCAATCTGCGGATTACTTTGGGGCAATAGAAGACATGAAGGGGATGAAGAAAGGAGGTATCCTTATGGCTCTAGGGTTACACCTGCAGACAGACTTCTTCCGTGTGAAAGCACACCAAGTCACTAAGATGTCCTCCAAAAGACAGCAGAAAGTTTCTGCCGGTGAGCCTGGCGTGCTGAGCGAGTCAGCCAGGAACCTGGCCGAGGGCGCCCTCCGCCGAGGGCCAGCTCTAGGGCGAGGGC